GTGCCAGCATTTATGTCGATTTAAAGAAAGCATTCGACACGATTGACCACAGCATTTTACTCAAAAAACTTATTAAATACGGGATTAGAGGGCCGGCATTACAGTGGATCTCGAGCTACTTGGAAAATAGAAAACAGTTTGTACAAGTACATGATACTAGATCCGAATTTTGTGAAATTACATGTGGAGTTCCACAGGGTTCAGTACTTGGACCAAAGTTGTTCATTTTATATGTAAATGATTTGGTAAATGTATCAGGGTTTTTCAAATGTGTTCTATTTGCGGATGATACCACTTTTTTTTGTCAGGGCAATGATATAAAAGGGATGTTAAAAAAAATGAAAATAGAATTTATGCAAATACATAAATGGTTCAAACTTAATAAATTATCTTTAAATTTGGACAAAACAAATTATATGTTATTTACAAGGAGACAAAGAACTGTAAACACTCCATTTAAAGTTGATGGTGTAGAGATTTGTAGAGTTAGTGAGGTGAAATTTTTGGGTGTGATAATTGACGAGAGATTATCATGGAAATCCCATTTGAATTATTTAAGAACAAAATTAGCTAAATCAATTGCAGTGCTTTATAAAGTACGGGATTTTCTGAATGATCATGCACTGTTTATGTTGTATAATGCACTAATTGTTCCACACTTGGTTTATTGTGTTGAGGTATGGGGAAAGGCATGTTATACTAGCATAAAATCGGTTTTTGTTTTGCAAAAAAGGGCAATAAGAATTATTGCTCGAAAACATGGCAAATATCCAACAAATACATTATTTTGTAATTTCAGGTTATTGAAATTCTATGATTTAGTTGATTATAATATTTTGTTGGTTATGTATAAGGCACACCTAAATACATTACCCTTAAACATCCAAAACATTTTTGAAAAGAGAGAGAGTAGTTATAATCTTAAGGGGACACAGATTTTTAAGAAACCCAAATTCAGAACTTGTTTGAAAGAACGATGTACTTCGATACAAGGAGTCAAACTGTGGAACGACCTACAAAACAATGTTAAAAATGCTAAATCACTACACATGTTTAAAAGAATGTTAAAGATTGGTTTTTTGTAGTATAAAGTTAGAGTATAGTATCGCTGTTTAGTTGAGATTGATGGTTGACCTTGCTTCTTTTGTTTTTCTTTTTGTTCTTTTCTTTTTTTATCACAGAAGA